ATGGCAAAAATGGCCAGGGAAAGAAACAACAAATGTTGGAGAGGTTGTGGAGAAAGGGAAACCCTCTTACACTGTTGGTGGGAATGCAAGTTGGTACAGCGACTTTGGAAAACAGTGTGGAGTTTCCTCAAAAATTTAAAAATAGAGCTACCCTATGACCCAGCAATTGCACTCCTGGGTATTTACCCCAAAGACACAGATGTAGTGAAAAGAAGGGCCATATGCACCCCAATGTTCATAGCAGCAATGTCTGCAATAGCCAAGCTATGGGAAGAGCCGAGATGCCCTTCAACAGATGAATGGATAAAGAAGATGTGGTCCATATATACAACGGAATATTACTCAGCCATCAGAAAGGATGAATACCCAACTTTTACATCAACATGGATGGGACTGGAGGAGATTATGCTAAGTGAAATAAGTCAAGCAGAGAAAGTCAATTATCATATGGTTTCACTTATTTGTGGAACATAAGGAATAACATGGAGGACATTAGGAGAAGGAAGGGGAAAATGAAGGGGGGGAATCAGAGGAGGAGACGAACCATGAGAGACTATGGACTCTGAGAAACAGACTGAAGGTTTTGGAGGGGAGAGGGGTGGCGGGATGGGTTGGCCTGGTGGTGGGTATTAAGGAGGGCATGTACTGCGTGGAGCACTGGGTATTATACGAAAACAATGGATCGTGGATCACCACATCAAAAACTAATGATGTATGGTGACTAACAATAAAATTTAAAAAAAAAAAATAAAAAATAAAACATGAGGTGTGAAAAGTATGCTATCAATTATAGCCAAATGTTCCACCCCCCTACTCCCAATTTAACTATCCTAGTCCAGATCAGTACAGGAATGTTGTTACTTTTAATATTCAGAAAAGAAAGGGTAAACTTTTGACTCTGGCCCATATCATATATGTTTAAGTTTCATTCTTCCAAGCAGAAGGGAAGACAGGTATCCATTATGAAGGAGGAAGACAGGCATCATGGGGAAGAAACAGGGAACATCCTGTGGGGATACACTTTGCTTCATAGTCGATATCCTGGTACACACAGAGTCTCACTTAGCTGACAGGTATTTTCCTATATATGGTATCAGAAGAGATTTTTCATCAGAACATATGAATGACAATTGCAGTAACAGGATACTTTTTTCAAGGAGTCATTTGTTGCAGTAAGAAATGAACTGAGCTGGGATGTCCTACTTACGTCCCGTGGAATGACAGATTAAGGATAAATTTGACCAAACCACCTGAATGGGGTTTGAGAATCACCTAGAAATAATCTGCTCCGGGCAGAAGAGCTTTAGCAAACAAAGGCTCTGAATGGGGACTTGGGCAATCAAGTGAGCAGCTGAAAGAGCACGGAATTATAGCTGCAAGTGGAGAGCAGGCTTGGTATTGTGTGTGTGGAAAGTCTCAGAAGAGAATTTAAGAAACTGGAACATGGGGGCGCCTGGGTGGCTCAGTTGGTTGGGTGACTGCCTTTGGCTCAGGTCATGATCCTGGAGTCCCAGGATCGAGTCCCGCATCGGGCTTCCTGCTCAGTGGGGAGTCTGCTTCTCCCTCTCCCGCTCCCCCCTCTTGTGCTCTCTCTCTCTCAAATAAACAAATAAATAAAATCTTTAAAAAAAAAAAAAAGAAAGAAACTGGAACATGGCTGAGAAGGGTTTGACATATTGCTATTAACAGGAGAAATAACACAAGTCTAAAATGTGGTGGTCAGCTACTTAAGACGTGGCTCCAGTGTGAATGAATTCCAACTTCATGGAACACAAGTATTTACCTACAACATAGCAAAGGTTTACAAAGGTCAAGAATAAAAAGGTCATGCTAAAAATGAAGAAAAATATTTTATCCAAGAAAAGTGTCAAATCTCTGTTTGCACAACTGTATAAGCAGATTTTGTATTTTACTCAACTAAGTTCTTTGGGTCACATATTTAAGTGAAATGTTCATTCCTGCAGAATCATCACAACAAAAACTAGTTACAAAAAAACACCTCGACATTTTTTGACAAAACAAATTCCAACTTCATAAATATATAAATCAAGCAAAATGCTGTTACAAATTCCAAACATTAGGCCAATCATAATTCCTTGATCCCAGTTAAGTTCCCATTAGTTCCATAACAAAAGTTTAGAGAGCAGAGAAAGAGTCCTAAGTTTGGTTTCCTCATCAAATTATTACTAAGACATAATAATCAAGTAAACATTGTTTCTTATAAACATTTTTCCATAAATTAAAAAATATTTTTAAAAATTTTAACCAAAATTTAAAACAAAGTTTATACCAAACAGAAACCCAAAAGCATTTCTTGAAAACTATGCTTACAACCAAGAAATTTTAGCTGTGAATAAATTCTCCACTCAGGTTTGAAGTGGGTCAAACACTCAATTTCATGTGAAAAGTGGCACACAAGTCAACTGTGATTCTAATTGATTAGAGAACACCTTGACTGAGAAGTTAAAATAATTTGTCTACCTGGTTAAAAATAGCAGAATTTAAAGTATTCTGGTTCCAATAGGCTAATGACACCAAGAGCATCCTAGGCTGACTGGTGACTGACTAAATGAGACAAATGACACCTAACTGTTAGGAATAGGGCTATGTTCAAAGAATACAGGCAGATCAAGTTGCTATGCACTTTGGTTGGCATCTTGGAAAACGTCAAGATCTGAACAGGCTCCAGGAAATGAAAATTTTGAATTGTCTTAGTGATGGCTCCTGCAAAATTATGAATAATGCTGTCCATGACACTGTATGCACAAATAAGATGAATTTAATTCTGAAAAGATATCAAAAGTTTGTTAGAAAAGCCTGGCTACACATGTAAAAATGTCAGCAGGAAACTTAAAACTGCTCTGTAAGATGTTGGTTTCTCATCCCTTACCATGCCTCCCACACCATTCAGATTCTTTAGCCACAGAATTGGCCCACTGTTATTTAAGCTAGCCACATTCAAGAATACAATATCTTGTAAAAATCAATCTCTCTCCCCTCCAACACCAGGGGTTTCCTCAGCTATCAGAACCACCATTCTTTTGGACTTACCTACCAAACTATGTCTTCTGGCACCAAATCATTTAAACTACACAAGACAGAGTTGCAATATTTTCCTGTGGAAAGAGTGCTAAGAGTCAGCCCATAAGGCAATTTAAGGCATGTGACCATAGATGAGTCAGTCTTTCTTGGGTTCAAATTTCTTCATCTAAGGTCCTCTTTAGATTAAAACTGTAATTCTAAGTCTTCAGGTTAGACAGAATCTGACTATAGGCAGAAGCCTCTAGTTATCGTTACGCCTTGAAATGGGCAACTGGCATCTCAGCTGTGAGAGTCAGAGGGTGGGTACAGGCAGAGCTGACTGCAGCTGCAAGGGTCCCTCTCTTGATATCCCATGATGTGTTTTTAGATGGGAGATGAGTACTGGCTACAAGCCACTGGATTTAAAACCTGAGTGGCTATTAGTAAAGCTACTCCTCCTTCCATCCCTAAAGAGTTTATAACCAGGATTTTCCTTTATGTTCTCATCCCCATTCCCTCTCACACACTCAAGCTCCCACTTCTCAGTCAACACTTCTTGGGGAACTCCATTACTTCTGATGGATCCTTAACAAAAATATGGGGAGGGGGACTGTTGTAAGTATAACACATGTCAACCCATCTTTGTACAATTAACTTAACCCTAAACTGCAGAGCATCTACCTATCTTTTTAACATTTCTTATTACTATTCCTGCCCATATCCATGAATCTATTTACTCAAGTTCAAATGATCTAGTACATTTTTTTTTTTTTGATGCTTTGGGCTATTTTAGTTAACTACCAAGCAAAACCCACCTTATGGGAGAAGGTAGGTAAATAAATTGGTAGATCGGCTGTCAAAGCCAAGTAGTCAAAATATGTCCAAGCCTCTCAGAGGTTCATTCTTCACTCTTCTCACTCAGGATGTTAACTATTAATTTATAAATAGGCCTCTTTCAAAGTGTATTGACACTCATGAGTTTGAGATGCCCCTGTCTAAAATGATTGTCTATCTGGCCATTTGCAAATGGATGGGATTACAATGAGCCTTATTAGCACACTGATTCCATAACCCCCATCTAACTGGCAAAGTATAAAATTAGTTGCTGTCAGGTTACCCAGCATTGGCAGAGTTCCTCCTGGTAGCTCATGCTATTACAGAGAGAGTTATAGTATGACCTACTAAATATGTAAATATTACCAGATTCACTTTGCCCCAACCCAGTGACTGCCCATCTGGAGAAGTGAAGTATATTACTCAAACCTGGCTTCTTTAAAGGAAGAATTCTAAGAAGCACATTCCAAAATGAATTTTCTTCTTTAGAAACAAGTTGTGGGTAATTACCTAAACCTACATGAAAAACGGAACTTTTCCAATTCGTAACATAGTTGATTATCATAAATGATATTTAACTGTCCTATATTTAACTGTTCATTGACCCTTCATATAACTTTCCCACTGTCTTCTCCAATAAAGATGTCTGATATAAAATCACAAAAACCCAAATGGAAACCTGTTCTTTCTGTTGGATCAGCTATCAGTGGTGTTTCCAGATTACCTTTTTTTGTTGTTAATTAGAATATCATCATTCTTACAGATATACTGGAATTTAAGGTGAATCTGGATTTTTAAATTTTATTGTATTAAATATGTTTTCTCTAAGGTTTTTAAACCAAAACACGTCAGTAGTTAGAGACTCAGGGTTTAACTTTGTTTCATAATTGCTTAATTCTAAGAAAGAAGTTTCAGTCAGTTATAGTCTAAATTTAAATTACTTCATATTTAATATCATCTCACTCCCTTCCTCAGTGGATATTTTGCTGATTAAGTTGTTGAGATGAGGAGAAATCCCTTACTGTAGAAAGAGAGAAAGGAAGTAGGGGCCAGCTCTGCCATGTAATGCTGAAACAGGAGGCCTTAGAGGAGGGGTCTGGAAGGTGAGAATCAAGTTATATTCAGCACACAAGTATTTCACAGCTCTTTCTCAGATTTTACTTCAAGAAATGCGTCTGTATTCAATTTTTTTAAATTTGGGGATAAGTCCAGTATTTTACCACAAAGAACTTAAACTAGTACCACTCATATTCTTCAATTTCACCTTTCGGTCTCTTGTTTATTCTTGATAGTTCATACCTTTAGCAATATGGTGTTTCACACAATTTGACTTCAGAGAACACCATGTCCCACAGATGCTTAAACGCTGAAGCTCCTGGGAACTGTGAGGCCTACAGAGACGGTGCAGGCAAGTTTCAACAACCAGTCTCTAGAATTTTGTTATTAGTCTTCAGGAAACTGTACTGAAAGACTACTTACATTTTTTTAAATGTGCAAGTGTTTACATGACCAAAGCTTCAGGATGTGGATTTTCTGGCTGATTCTAGCATTTCAAAGAAATAATAATGGTAAGAACTGGAGGCCTGAATTATCCCTATGATATAGAAAATTTCAAATGAAAAAGAAAAAGCAGCCTTTACAATTCAGACATCCTTTTTCTGGAAATAAGAATCTGAGATAATTTTTGTCTTACTAAATATGGATCACAAAACATTAGTTTTTCAGTTTTCATTTATCAGTCATATGTACAAGAAAAATATTTATAGAAACACACACACACAAAAACAACAAAAAATAAAAATTCCTTTAAACTACTACATTAAGGTGAACAAACTTATACGGAATAAGAAACGCTGTCAATAAAAATTAAAACATTAAATATCAATACTTACACAACAAAGTGCACTGTTTGCAAAATAAAGCTAACATACGATCACACAGAAAAACAAAGGCATCAACTACCAAAATACTGTTTTGTCTCAATACCTCCTCATTTTGGCCTTGGGAAATCACCAAGCCCTAAAGCACCTGGCTTATTATTTTCTCCCCTCCCCCTCCCTCATGCTTCCATCCTTTTCACACTGGGGTACCAGTGTAAGAGGCTCCTGGAGGTGGCTAACCGTGCAGCAGCCCCCAAGGCCGCAGTGGCTGTGCTCCGAGGGATGTAGAGCTTCTGGGAAATCTGGTGCTCAGGAGACAAGATCAAAGAGAGCTGGTCCAGGGCTCCGGGACTCTTGTCTTTGAATACTGTAATAGCATGGCTACTAGAGAAATCATTCTTTAGGCTCTCTGGAGAGCTCTCCACTGAAAAAGAAAGAAAACACAAGTCTTTTCAAGGGGTTCTCACACTCACTGCCTTCTCTTTCCCATTCTAAATCTTTACTAGTGTGTGTGACAATCATTTTCTTTAGGTGGTGACATTTTCTGTGACAATTAGAGAGGGTGAGACTCAGAAATCAGTCAACAAATGGAAAGGAAATGAGAACGGGGAATTGAGATGAAATAAATCCTTGTCAGAATGAGGGGGGGGGGAAGAGAGGAAAAAAGGTACTTATGAACAGGGAAGGGAAAATTTCTTTCTAGGACATCAGAAATTGGATAGAATTCCAATTCCAGGGAGGAGTCCTGAAGCTCTCCTATTTCCTTCCAGCAGAGAGCACAATGGTGTTTCTATTGCCAAAGTGGTTTCAATTTGAGTGTACCAGTGTAAAAACAAAACTGACCAAGATGTTTGGGACAATAAGTCCCAAAAACGGGTTATCAGCCATAAAATAAATTCCTGAGGAATTAGTGCCAAAAGTTCCAAACAGCCAAGGAAGGGGATGCTAGGCATTGTCACACGTATACTCTAGACCATGAACTCTTTATTACCTGCCTACAATGAAAGAAGGAGCTTTTGCCAGCATCTAAGCCAACACACTGCTTCTTTCAAGAAAATTCTGCTTTAGTTAAAAAAAAAAAAAATGCAGGTGAGCTAAATAATGTGCTAATGTGTTGTCCATCATCACAAACACTTTGCAGACTGATACCAGTATGATTACATTTTGAAAAGTACTGCTCTAGACCTTAAAAACACAGATTTCAAAAAATCTAGAGAAAACACGGACATAATCCAGTACTTTATTCATCTTCGCATTTTTAGCAACTAACATAGTAGCATGTGGTATATGTTCCATACATTTGTGATGAATTATATTCAAGGAGAATTTGACAGGGTATTCCAAAAAATAAAACTCTGATCATAAAGCTATAATTAATGCTCACTAGAGGAAAAGAGCTGGTGAGTTCTAATAAAATAAGTTTTACACAGTTTTGGTGAGCTCAGATTTTAAAAGGTATAAATATATGAAAGCAGGGACACATGATCAAAGAATTTAAAAGAGTAGCAAAACTTCTGCTTCCAGATCTGATGTTAATTCAACAGTGATTGAAAAACAACCCCTCCTGCTTTAAACAACTGGAAAACTGGGCAGAATGTCTGAAACAGTAGCAGATTCATACACTGAACAACAAGCATGCAAGGCAGTGATCCCTAAAACAAGGGAAACAAATGAAGTAAGTGCTACAACGACCTTAGCTCCTGCTGGAATAGTTTCTAGGCTTCAGTACAAGAAGGAAGAAGCCAAACTGAGCCTGGAGATCTTAGTGGGTTGAAAAGACAGAGTTTGGAATTCAAGAAGGCCAAGGTGCCTAGAATTTGTGGGAAAAAGTACAAGAGCAGAGGCAGCTAGAAATCTAGCTAGACAAGAACACTTGCAGTAACCTCTGAGATCAGCCATAGCAACTTTTTTCTAGATATGTCTGCAGAGGCAAGGGAAACAAAAGCAAAAATAAACTATTGGGACTTCATCAAAATAAAAAGCTCCTGCACAGCAAAGGTATAAACAATCAACAAAATTAAATAAGGCAACCTATGGAATGGGAGAAGATATTTGCAAATGACATCTCTGATAAAGGATTAGTATCCAAAATATATAAAGAACTTCTACAACTCAGCACCCAAAAAACAAATAACCCAATTAAAAAATGGGCAAAAGGCATGAATAGACATTTTTCCAAAGAAGACATACAGAGGCAAACAGACATATGAAAAGATGCTCATCATCACTGATCATCAGGGAAATGTAAATCAAAATACAATGCAATATCATCTCACACCTGTCAGAATGACTAAAATCAACAATACACAAAACAACAGGTGTTGACAAGGATGTGGAGAAAGGGGAATCTTCTTGTACTGTTGGTGGGAATGTAAACTGATGCAGCCACTCTGGAAAACAGTATGGAGGTTCTTCAAAAAGTTAAAAATAGAACTACCCTATGATCCAGCAATTGTACTACTAGGTATTTACCCAAAGAATACAAAAATACAAACTCAAAAGGATACATGCACCCTGATGTTTATAGCAGCATTATCAACAATAGCCAGATTATGGAAACAGCCCAAGTGTCCACTGACTGATGAAAGGATAAAGAAGAGATGATATATATATAAAAACCCACACACATATATACATACAATGGAATATTACTCAGCCATAAAAAAGAATGAAATCTTCCATTTGTGATAACACGGATGGAGCTTGAGAGTATTATGAGAAGTGAAATCAGTCTGCAGGAGAAAGACATATACCATACGATTTCACTCATATGTGAAGTTTGAGAAATAAAACAAATGAGCATGGGAGAGAAAAGAGAGAAGCAAACCAAGAAATAGACTCAACTACAGAGAACAAACTGATGGTCACCAGAGGGGAGGTGGGTGGAGGATGGGTAAAATACATGATGGGGATTGAGGAGTGCACTTGTTGTAATGAGCACTGGGCGACGTATGGAAGTGCTGAATCACTAAAGTGTACACCTGAAAGCACTATTATACTGTATGTTAATTATACTGGAATTTAAATAAAAACTTAAAAAAAAAAAAGAACTGTAACGTTACCAGAAGCAGGGGAGGGCAAGTATTGAATAGGTGATGGGGATTAAGGAGGCACTTGTGGGGATGAGCATCAGGTGATGTATGGAATTGTTGAACCACTATATTGTACACCTGAAACTAATATTACAATGTATAAAAAAATCCCAATAAAAATTTTAGCAGGCTTTGTGTACATTTATGTTAATTCTAAAATTCATTCTTGAATTACCTAAAATGGCCAAAACAATTTGAAAAAGAACAAAACTGTATGATTTCAAGACATATAAAGCCACACTAATCAAGGCAGTGGTATAAAGCCATATAAACCAATAAAACATAATAGGAAGTGCAGAAATAGACCCTCACATATACAGCCTACTGACTTCTGACAAAGACAGCAAGGCAGTTTAAAAAAGGATAGTCTTTTCAACAAATGGTGCTAGAAAAACTGAATATTTATATGCAATCAAAATAAACATTGATCCTTACATCACATCATAATATTAATGCAAACCGTAACTCAAAAATTAACAAATTGGATCACAGATCTAATTTTAAGACCTAAAACTACAGAACTTTTCATAAGAAAAAGAGCAAATCAGTTACTTGGGTTAGGAAAGATTTCTAAATAGGACACAAAAAGCTCAAACTTTCTATTAAGAAAAAAATCATTCAGACTTCATCAAAATGAAAACTTTTGCTCTTCCAAAGATGCTGCTAAGGAAGTCACGCACTTAAAATATTTGTGAGATATATATCACATACATATAGGTGTATATATCTGACAAAGCTTTTTGTCCAGAATAATTTTTACAAATCAATGAAAAGATGATAATCCAATAAAAAATGAGCAAATATTTGAACATGTAAGTTCACTAAGGAAGATTTACAGATTGCATATAAGCACATGAAAAGATGGTCAACCTCACTGGCAAACAGGGAAATATAAATTAAAACCACAATAAGATACCACTACACATGCACTAGAATAGCAAAATTTTAAAAGATTGGTAGTATCATTTGTTGGCAAGGAGATGGAGCAATCAGATTTCATGTAATCCTGTGTGAATCAAAAATGGAAGAGCCACTTTGGAAAACGTTTTGGCAGTTCTCAAAAAGTTAATCGTGCAGTGATCACGTGACCCAGCAATTTCACTCCTTGGTACGTACTGACTATGTCTACACAAAGAGCTGTGTGTATGACTGTTCACGGCAGCTTTATTCATAAAGGCCCAAATCTGTTCATCTGATGAAGAGATATCCATACAACTGGGTACCACTTAGCAACAAATAAGAACTTTTGACACTGGCAACAACATAAATCAATCTCTAAAACATCATGCTCAGTGAAAAAGGTCAGACTTAAAAACCATGTAAGGCATGACTCTATGAAATTCTAGAAAAGAGAAAGTAACATGCGGGAACCAGCAAGCAAGGGTAGGGAGTGACTGCAGAGGGAAGCAAAGAACTGGTGGAGTTGTTCTAGGTCACGACTGTGGTGGCAGCAAGACTGTATACATGTGTCAAAACTCACAGAGCCATCTAATCAAAACTGGCAAATTCTACTGTATGTAAAACAGACACCCCCCAACCAAACTGCACATAAAAAGAGGAGTGGCAAATAGAAGGGACAACTGAGCTCAGTAAGGACTTGAGACCAAGGCTAAAGTCAGCAATTTTTCAAGGTAGGTTCTGAAAAGATCAATGCAGGCTTTTTAGCAGGATGACAAACCACTGTGTTTGTCAATTAAATGTAAAGCTACCTGAACCAGAGCGTTTTTCTGCAGGATCAAGCACCGGAGGCGTTGCATTAAGGGCTGCTGAGGACAGCTGAACGGGCTTGGCCGGAGTCTGGACACTGCTGGCCTCGTGCTGGCTCCCTTCCGCTGACTGCTGTGACCGAATCAGAGAGATGTAGAACTCCTCCAACTTGGGCAATGTGGAAGAATCCGAAGAACTCTCTAGGTTTGGCTGCTGCAGTATGAGAAAAGTAGGGCAAAAGCATGAAAAGTAGTTGTTAGTGTAACAGGAAGAATTAACCCTGTTTTGGTTCCTTAGTTATAGAGACAAATATTTTTCATATCTGAATACCACTACTCACTTTTAAGAACCTAGTTCCTCTCTAGAAAAAAACAGTCCTTTTCTAACTTAGTGACCATCAATTCAATTCAAGAAACACTTATTGAACACACATTACGAGCAAACACGGTGCTGAAAGCGGCCGCACAGAGCTGTGGAAGGGCGGCGGGAAAGGCGAGAGAAGGCGGCGAGTGCTCATGTCCGGCACACGGCCAGGCTACCTGCACGTGCTTCTTTATTCAAACCTCAGTACGACCGCTCTAGCTTCGGGGTTCTGTCGTCCTCACCATGGGCCCTTTCAATTAGCAGAACGCTTTTCACAAGAGGCGAAGCTATCCAGTGTTAACCAGTAGGTGACAAAGCAAAGATGGGAACTCAGCCCAGTCCCTGTTCTCACCATCTCCCAGTAAGACAGGATCCCTGTCCCCAAGCTCACAGCCCTCAGTTGGAGAAACAGTGTGTGTCCTGCAGCCAGCCATGAATGGAGGCCTGGCCCGCATTCTGCAGTGTGAACACACCAAGAGAACATAAACTAGTTAAAGGAAGCCTCCTCAGAAGAAGAGACAAAATGGAGTATTAAGAACCAGGGTTTGAGAAAAAAAGATGAACATCCCTATGGAGACTAAACTGGACTTAAGTGAATAGAATATCAAATTTTAACCATGAGATCCTATGTCCTACCGTACAGTCATTGCTGAAGCAGACACAATCTATGGTAACTTAGCATTCACCTTCTGTGATGGTAACTGGCATTAATATGACTGGAGCCAGCCCTACCCCGACTAGGCTGCCAACAGTCTGGGATCTGCCCTGAGTGAACTAAACCAGTAATTATACAAACAGAAAATGTAGCTTTGTATGTTCTTCAGCCTCATATGTAGTAGACATCTAGTATCAGTTGGCATTCCCTTTTTGTTCCATAACAACAAAAAAAATCCTGCTCATTTTCAAACATGGCTGGCATGAATGCAGTTATACAATTATGCAATATACAAAGGGCTATGTGGGTAGCCTTTTTTGACAGCAAAAATGAAACTCACATTTCAGATTAGCTATACTGGCCACACAATATGCTACTTCAGGAAATCAAAGATGCAGATTCAAATTTTTACTTGGCTTATGCAATTCATGTGTGTTTTAGTTACCCTGTAAGTTTATTCTCAGAATGAGGCTAAGCATCAGTGAGTTCTTTCAATAAGGCTCCAAAGGCAGCTAAATAAATATTTATATGATAAATTTTCAGAGCTGAAAAGATCACTATCTACATCGGTCTTTGCCAATGGACAAACTGAGGCTCCAAAAGGTAACTTGTGCCAACCTGTAGATTTTAGTCTGTGGTGAGGCTAAGCCGTAGATTGCAGACCAGCCAGACCAAGTGTTTTTTACACTATGTCCCGCTGTCTATTTTCAGTAGTTTAACAAAAATTGAAATCAGAAACAAATTTTTGAGGCTATATCCTTTTTCTTTCCTCTTAAGTATGATTTTGAAGATGCATTGTTAAAATATATTTAAGATGCATTCTGATAGGCTATTCTGAAAAGAAAAAAGAAAAAACACAGGTGAATGCTTTCTAAATTTGTATGACACTCTGACAGCAACTGCCCACAGGCAATTTGAGCATTTAATTGACAGTCAAGGTTCTTTCTCCGAAGAGTGTTCTCCAGCCTTGCTGCTCAAAATGTGGTTCACCAACCAGCAGCATCACCTGGGAGCTTGCTAGATATGCAGAACCTGTGTCCCCATCCCAAATTACTCAGATCCTGCAGCTTCACAAGATTCTTAAGGGATGTGTAAGCACATTATACTTTGAGTAGCATCATACTACCAGATTCAGCTCTCTGTAGTTATCAATGACTCCCTCCATCATAGTTATCTGAAAATTCACCTCATGGAACTAGAGGTAAATGACAGACTTTCAAGAAACATGATTAACATATGTAATCAGAAGCATAGCCCCAAGCCCCAATAACATATATCTTCACACCCACAAGGATGGCTATGACTTAAAAAAAAAAAATAGATATAACAAGTACTGGCAAAGACATGGAAAAATTGGAACACTCTTATATGGCCAGTGGGAATGTCTATTTAGGAAAGTCTGGCAATTCCTCAAAACATTAAACAAAGAGTTACCATATGACCTAGCAATTCCACTCCTAGGGTACATACCCTCATAAAATTTAAAACATGTCTCCATAAAAACATGTACATGAATGTCACAGCAACATTATTCATAATAGCAAAAAACTGAAAATAACTCAAATATCCATCAGCTGATGAATGGATAAACAAAATGTGGTCTATCCATACAATGGATTATTCAACCATAAAAAGAAATAAAGTACTGATACATGATCAACCTTGAGAATATTATGTTAGGAAGCCAGACACAAAAGATCACATATTGTACTGATTCTAATTACATGAAATGTCACAGAAAATAAGCAAATCAATGGAGGCAGAAAGTAGATGAGTATCTGGCAGATAAAGGGTAGGGTGTCAGCTAAGGGACGCAGGGTATATTTGGGAAATAATGAAAATGTTCTACAATTGCTTGTGGGATGAATGCGCAATAAGCTAATGGACTAGTGAATATACTAAAGCCATTAAACTGTACACTTTAAATGGGTAACTATGGAACATGAATTATACCTTATAAAAGCTGAGGAGCGGAGGATGGAGTCTGAGCCCCACCAAGGGTTTCAGCTGAGATCCCCAAAGGATCCCATGTTAGAAATAACAGCCACATCTAAGGAGTAAGGGCAAAAGTGAAAAAGAGCAGTCCTAACAAAGCCTAAAACCAAACCTCATTGTGTGTGTTAAGGTGACTGACTGGTATCTGTCAGCCACAGGACATCTCAGTCTGCCTTGGAGGAAGACAACTCATCTAGAGCCTCTATAATTTTTTATCCATAATGTCAAATATTCAATTAAAAAAAATCAGGTATGCTTCCCACTTTCTCCACATCCCCCCCCCCCGCAGAAACAGGATCAAAGAACAAGACCAAATATGGGGGGCGGGGGCGGGGAAGAACATTCAGATATTGGCATTATCTGGAAAAAAAAAAAACTTTAAAATAAATGTGATTAGCATGATTAAGAATGTAGAGGAAGTGACAGAAAAAAATTGATGAAAATGTAGAGAATTTAAGCAGAGAATTCAAATTTATTTTAAAAAAGAATTAAATGGGCATTCTAGAACTGAAAAATGTTTGAAATTAAGAATTCAATGTGTGGGTTTAGCAGCAGAACAGATCCCACAGATGACAGGACTAGTATTCTGGAAGAATCAATAGAAAATCACCAAAGTGAGACACAGGAAAAAAAGAAAAAAGAAAAAATGTAAACATGAGAAGAGAGCCCAACAGGCATGTGGGACTCAGCCAAAGTGCTAGCACATGGTAACTGGAATGCCAGCAGGAGGGCGGTAATGAGGGAAAAGCACTATTTGATTAGACAAATAGGCCAGAATTTTCTAAAACTGATGAAGGGCATCAACCTTCTTATTCAATAAGCTCAGTGAACCACAAGTTGAGTAAATCCAAAGGAAATTACATCTAGATATATAATTATCAAAGAGCTTAAAGCAAAAGACAGAAAAATCTTAAAAGAAGCCAGAGAAAAAAGACATCATTGTCAACGGAACAATGACACCTGACAGCTGACAATTCAACAGAAGCCAGAACATAATGGTAGGATATCTTCAAAGGGCTGAAAAAAGTGCCACCCTAAAATTCAATGCTCAGGGAAAATATCCATCAAAAACGAAGATTAAATTCAGAAACCTGGGAAATTAAACAACATATTCCTGAACAAACAATGGGTCGAAAAAGAGATCAAAGAGAAGCTAGAAAATATCCTGAGACAAAGGAAAACAGCACACCAAAATTGATGGGATACCGCAAAATGAGAACTAAGAGGAATTTTTTTTAAGATTTTATTTATTTGAGAGAGAGGGAGGGAGAGAACATGAACGGGGGGAGGGGCAGAGGGAGAGGGAGAAGCAGACTCCCCACTGAGCAGGGAACCTGATGCGGGGGTTCGATCCCAGGACTCCGGCATCACAACCTGAGCCAAAGGTAGATGAAGAGGAATGCTTATAGCAGTAAATGCCTACATAAAAATAAAGAATCACAAACAACTTAACTTTACACCTTAAGGAATTAAAAAAAGAACTAAGGCCAAAATTAGCAGAAGGCATGAAATAACAGAAATTAGAGTAAAAATTAATGAAATACACAATAGAAAAAAAATCAATGAAACTAAGAGCTAGTTTTGTGATTTACAAATCTTTAGCTAGATTAGTAAGAGAAAACTCAAATATCAGCAAACAAAAATCAGTTCCATTTCTATATACTAACAATGAACTACTTGAAAAGGAAATTAAGGAGTGCCTGGCTGGCTCATTTGGTAGAGCATGTTGACTCTAGATCTCGGAGGCTGTGAGTTCAAGCCCATCACGGGGTGTAGAGATTACTTGAAAAGGAAATTAAGAAAACAATCACATTCACAATAGCATCAAAAGAATAGGAGGTGAAAGATCTGTACACTGAAAACTATGTAACATTGATGGAAGAAACCATAAATAAATGGGAAGATATTCCATATCATGGATTGGATGAATTAATATTATTAAAATTTCCATACTACCCAAAGTGATCTACAGGTTCAAAGATATTCCTATCAAAATTCCTATCAAAATGGCATTTTTTACATAAACAGAAACACAATCCTAAAATTCATATGAAACCATAAAGGACCCCAAAGAGCCAAAACAATCTTAAGGGTGGGGGGGGAGGAGGGATCACCCTTCCTGATTTCAAAATATACTACAAAGTTACAGTAATAAAAACATTATGGGACTGGCATAAAATAGACATATAGACCAAAAGAATAAAATCGAGAGCCCCAAAATAAAAACACACATATTCAGGCAACCAATCTTTGATAATGGTGCCAAGGCTACACAACGGGGAAAGAACAGTGTCTTCAACACATGATGCTGGGAAAAGTGGATATCCACAGGCGAATGAATGAAACTGGACCTTTATCTTACACTATACACAAAAACTGACTCAAAATGGATTAAAGACTTAAACATAAGACTGAAACTATAAATCTCCCAGAAGAAAAGATAGGGGGGAAGCTTTAGGACACTGGGTTTGGTAATCATTTGTTGGATATGAAACCAAAAGCAAAAGCAACAAAAGCAAAAATAAACAAGTGGGACTACATGAAACTAAAAATCTGCAGGCAAAGGAAACAAAGGAAACACAAATGACCACATATTATATGACATTTATATGAAATGCCCCAAATAAGCAAATCTATAGAGACAGAAAGCAGATTAGTAGTTGCCTCAGGCTATGGGAGGATGGGAAATGGGTGTGACTGCTAATGGGTACTGGGTTTTTTTTTTTTGAAGGGTTGAGGTGTTATCCTAAAACTAAATCTGTGCTGCTAAGCAACCCACATTTCTGGAACAGAGTATTCTATGTAATATAGCATACTTTACCAATGCTCTCATACAAAATAACCATATTTTATAGGAAATACATCATTCAGAAAAATCATCTTCCACAAATCTGCTTTTCAATAAGTCTCCCAGCCTTGAGTCCTTTATTTTCAATGTGACACATAAAAATAAAAGTGCAGAGGCCTGGTGGCCAGATTTCATGATTCACACAAACTGTCCTGCTGTTTTCAGGATGCTCATAATATATTTGAGAAACACAGAGCAAATATATTTTGTTACAGGATTAGTGCTTTCTGCCACAGCAACATAAAAGAAAAAAATACAGATTTATATTTTTGGCTCAATTATATGAAAATACCTGTTTTCTATACCTCTTACACAGAGATGTTATCAATCTTTCAATTCTAAGCTTGGGATTTTCTTCTGAAGAGATAAATTAAGTTGATTGAAATTAATTTTAAAATCAACCTACATTTTGTGTATATGTATTCCATCAAATGCTATAGAGGGATCATTAACCAGAATTTTACTTTCTAAAAACGAAAGCACTTCCTCATGAGAATCTGTCAATAACATTTATGAGACATTTACCTTTTGAATCCTGGTTGTGCCAGTATTTTTTTCCTGAGCACCCAATCCCTCTTGTTTTTGAACTTCTACTTTCATTCCATTCACAAGGCCTGAAGTCTGCCACGAATCATCCCATATATCTTTGGGTCCAGAAAAGCACCAATCCTAAAGAGAAAAAATTGCAAGCATAAACTAAGACATAGTGCCACATGATCCAGATAGAGAATAATATGGGCAAGGTAAAGGCTAGGAGGCAAAGTTGATTAAACAAGAAAATAAAATATGTTTATTAAGTTTCTATATCTGTGTGAATTTCCCCCCTTGTTTTATTGGTCCATATCCAATATCTTGAATTCCTTGGAACACACAGGTGTCATAAAAACAAATACAACTCTGGTTTATAGTATTTTCTTCAATACTGTTTTCATGGCCAGATGATTTTTCATGATCATCTAGTGTTTAAATGGCATAAATAATAAGGAGCAATTTAACTGTAGATATTTCTTCTAATAACCAGTGGGAAGTAAATTACATTTTAAACATATAGCTAGGCCCAATATTAGCTAATATTCTCAGTACAGAGACCCAGAGAATATATGATAAAGTTAATGCAATAAAAACAAAATTAGTGAAAACAGCTTATTTATAGATCCCAAAGCCTAAGATTCCAATGATAAAACAAAAATCATAATGGTTAAAAGGTTAGATGGGACAATAAGTCCATGATTTATTCTTTCCTGTTTCAACTTGTCCTCCTCCCTATCACTACCATCTTGGGGGGGAAAAAATGAATTCTTCTGGATTATCATGTGATAAATCGTCTTGAATTCCAGAGTGTATAGATTTCTTGAGGAAATTTACATTTCCATTTTTCAGTAATGATTTGCTGTTTTCCCAGGGATCTAACCTTTTGTGGCATTTCTTTACATGATGGGTAGGGTTTCTTTCCACCAAGACTTGAGGTAAATAAGTGGGAGGCAGCATCACCCCCTTTTCCCATTTTAGCCTGCAGAGGTAACCAGTTCTCATCCCAAACATCATCACCAATAGTCACTGATTCCAGGCATGGCATTCCAGTGGGGATCTCATCCTAGAATGTATCAGAAGACAAAGAAAACCTTTAATTTAGAGTTGCTATAGGAGTACATTTTAAAATTTAGGTTTACAATTTTTTTTCCTGACTCCAGGGAAAGACAGCAGTTTGAATACATAACTGACTACCCTCTCTCTCCTGAAACGTCACCAAAATATTCAGATTTAGATACAAACCCACTGTTAGAGAGAACAGAAGACAACACCACCTATGTTCTGGATACAGAAAAGAAGACAAGTGACAACTTACTAAGCAGTCGTGAGAAAGGAGAATCCTGAGCTTATAGCAGGAAAAACTGAGAAGCAACTCAAATTTATACCAGATACTGCAAATGCTCAGAAATTGCTACTACATGGTTTTTGGAAGTGAGACTGTAAAGTGGAAACAGACAAAAGCACTGGTAGAAGGTCTGTGTAAGAAGCAGTTAGATCTCCAGATATCCAACCCTACTCTTCCATATAAAAAGGAAGCCACACGTTATTTTCCTGCTGGAAAACCAGAGGGTCTTCTGGAGGGTAAAAGTGAAAGTGGGCAAGCATAAAAACAGGGGAATTCAGCAAAAGTTTTTATACCGAATATCAAAATCCCTAGGTCTGTTTTCAATAGCAGGACGGAGATAAAAGAATGCATGAACTTGAAGAGAGATCCATACAAATTATCCAATCTGAACAACAGAGAGAAAAAAATTGGGAAAACAAAAGCAAAAACAGAGACTTGGGGACCTATAGGACAATACCAAAAGGTTTAACACTTGCTTCATGGGAGTCCCAGAAGGAGAAAAGAAAGAGTGCAGTGCAGAAAAAGTATTTGAAGCAGTGTCTGAAAACGTCACCAATTTGATGGAAGACATAAACCTACAGATTCAAAAAGCGTGCCAAACCTCAAACAGAAATCTATGTCTAAGTAGATTATAATCTACCTACCTCCTGAAAGCTAAATACAAACCATCTTAAACATAGACAAAGGAAAATGACATATTATTATAGAGGAACAATTACAAACCTGCAGATTTTTCATCAGAAATTATGAAAGCCAGAAGAAAGTGCAATGAAATTTTTAAGGCCTGAAATAAAAGAACTGGTAACCCAGAATCCTACATCCAGCAAAAATATCTTTCAAGAATGAAGATAAAATAAATACACTTCCAATGAAGAAAACTAAAAAAATTCATTGTCAGCAGATATACTCTAAAGGAATTGCTAAAGGAAGTTCTCTGGATAGAGAGGAGAGGATACCAGAAGGAAAGTTGGAATATCAGAAATAAAGAGTAACAGAAATGATCAATATCTGGAGAAGTATAATGGACTATTCTTGTGCTGAATGTTTGAAGGTGGAAAGGAAAAACTGTAACATTATAAATTCTCAACATATATACTTGTCATATGTAAACATAGCATAAAGGAGGTGGGAAGGGGTAAAACACCTAGATGGTGGTAAGATATATACATACCACTTGAAGTGGTAAAACTGTGAAAAGTCAAGATGTATATTGTAATTCCTGGAGTAACCAGTCAAAACACTATATAGGTAGATATAATAAAAATATAATAAGTAAAATGGACTACTAAAGAACACTAAATAATACTAAAATAAGGAAGGAAAAGAAAAGCAAAGGAATGAGAAGCAGAGGTAACAAATAAAAACAATGAAATGGCAGACCTATAATCAAAACATACCAAAAATGATATTAAATGTAAAATGTCTAAACATACTAAAATTCAGATCATCAGAATGGATTTAAAAAATGACTAAACTATACGCTGTCTCAAGAAACTTACCTCAAATATAATGACATAGGTAGTCTAGGTTAGAAGTAAAAGGATAGAAAAAGATATGTCAACCATTAAAAATAAAGCTGGAGTGGCTATACTGCTATCAGACAATGTAGACATCAGTGCAAAGAATGTAACTATGAATAAAGACATTTCATCCTGATAAAAGGGTCAGTTCATCAAGAAAACACACCAATCCTAAATACATGGCACCTGACAATAAAGCTCCAAGATAGAGAAGGGAAAAAACTCACAAGAAAGGAGAAAAAGACATAATCCAAGATTATAGTTGATGACTTCAACATTCTTTTCAGTAATCAGTAAACTAGTAGACAGCAAGGATACAGAAGAACTGAATGATACCACCAATCAACTGGATTTAATTAACCTTTATAGAACACTCCATTCAACAAAAGCAGAACACAGTCTCTTGAAAAGCACATGAGACATTCACCAAGACAGACCATATCCTATGTCAACATACCTTAACAAATTTAAAAAACTGAAATCACACAAAATATGTCCTCATACAATAGAATTAAACTGTAAATAAGAGAAACATAACAGGAAAATGTCCAAACACTTAGAAACACACTTTCAAATAATCCATACTTATATGACCCATTGTTATAGGACCCATATAATAATAATTAGGGTCATATAATTATGAGTCAAACATGACAGCTCAAAAATAATCAGAATATATTTGAACCAAATGAAAATACAATGTAATCCAACTTGTGAAATGTAGCTGAAGTGGTACTTAGAGGGTTAGAGCATGAAATGCTTATATTAGGAAAAAAGAAAGGTTTCAAATCAATAATCTAGGTTTCCATCTTAAGAAAGTAGAGGGGTGCCTGGGTGGCTCAGTCAGTTAAGCATCTACCTTTGGCTCAGGACATGATCTCAGGGTCCTGGAATCAAGCCCCACTTTGGGCTCTCTGCTCAATGGGGAGACTGCTTCTCCCATTGCCTGCTGCTCCCCCTGCTTGTGCTCTCTCTCTCTCCCCATCAAATAAATAAAATCTTTAAAAACTAATAATAAAAAAAAAGAAAGTAGAAAGAAAGCAAAAACATAAGAGCAATGAAAAACAATGAACACTGAACAACAACAATGAACTTGAAAACAGAAAAACAGATATAAAATCAAGGACACCAAAAGATGACTGTTTGGAAAAAATTCAGTAAAACTGATAAACCTCTAGTAAGATGGAAAAAAAGGAAAACACACAAATTGACATTAGGAATGAGAGAGGGGATCATCAATGCAGGATAATAAAGGAATACTATGAACAACTCTATGTAGACACTGTAGACACAAAATTGACAACAGAAATGGAATGAGCCAATTCCTCAAAAACCACAAAATACTAAATCTAACCCAGAATGAAACAGTCACCTTTAATACTCCTATCTATTAAAACAATTGATTTATAGTTTAAATTCTTCTGAAAAAGAAATCTCCAGGCCAGGGCGCCTGGGTGGCTCAGTTGGTTAAGCAACTGCCTTCACCTCAGGTCGTGATCCTGGAGTCCCAGGATCGAGTCCCACATTGGGCTCCCTGCTCAGTGGGAAGTCTGCTTCTCCCTCTGACCCTCTCCCCTCTCATGCTCTCTCTCACTCTCTCTCTCTCAAATAAATAAAATCTTAAAAAGAAAAAAAAAGAAATCTTCAGGCCAGATAGTTTCACCGAAGTAATCTAAGAAACACTTAAAGAATTAACCTCCACTCACCCACAAAAAGAAACTGATTTTTACATAATCTTTCCAGAAAATAGGAGGGAACATTTCTTTCCAGCCCCTTTTATGGAGATAGTATCACCCTGATACTACAACCATAGAAGACAGTAACAAAAACAAACATAAAACCCTATAGACTAATATCTCTCAAGAACCGAGGATGCAAAACCCTCAACAAAATATTAGCAAACAGAATATAACAACATATAAAAGAATTATATACCATGACCAGTGGTGTTATTCTAGTTATGCAAAGCTGGTTTAACATTTGAAATTCAGTGTAATCTACTACATGAACAATCTAAAGAAGCAAAATCATATGATTATAACAATCAATGAAAAAGCATTTGATAAAATTCTGCACCCACTTGTGAAAAAAACTGTTAGAAAAATAGGAATAGACAGGAATCTTCTCAACTTGATTAAAAAAAAAAAAAAAACTAAAATTATACATAATGCTTTTCTCCCCAAGATCAGGAATAATGCAAATTTGTCTTTCACCACTTCTATTCAATACAGTGCTAGAAGCTTTAGCCAATGCAATAAGACAAGAAATGGAAATAAAAGCCATGCAGATCAGAAAGGAAGAAACAAAACAGTCCCTTGCAGAGGACATAACTGTCTATTTGAAAAATCCCAAGGAGTCTACAAAAAAATCTGAGTAGGCAAGGTCACAGTATACAGGACTGTACAGAAAAATCAAATGCCAATCAAATGTGCACCCCGATATATACCAGCAATGAGCATGCGGAACTGAAATTAAAAACACAACACCATTTATAATAATTCCAAATACTATGAAATAATTAGGTACATACTTAAAACACATAACCTATATACTGGACCTATATACTGAAAATTACAAAATGCTGATGTAAGGAATCAAAGAAGAACTAATTAAATGTAGAAACATGTTTGTATATTGTAAGACTCAACACAGTAAAGATGTAAATTCTCCTGCATTGATCAACAAGTTTAATGTAATTTCTATCAAAATCCCAGCAAGGTATTTTGCAGAAATACACAACTCATTCTAAAATTTATATGGAAAGGCACAAACCCTAAAATAGATAAAACAGTCTTTCTTTTTATTTTTTTATTATGTTATGTTAATCACCATGTATAACATCATTAGCTTTTGATGTAGTGTTCCATGATTCATTGTTTACGTATAACACCCAGTGCTCCATGCAGAACGTGCCCTCTTTAATACCCATCACCAGGCTAACCCATCCTCCCAACCCCCTCCCCTCTAGAACCCTCAGTTTGTTTCTCAGAGTCCATAGTCTCTCATGGTTCATCGCCCCCTCCGATTTCCCCTCCCTTCATTCTTCCCCTCCTGATTTTTTTTTTTTTTTAACATATAATGTCCTATTTGTTTCAGAGGTACAGGTCTGTGATTCAACAGTCTTACACAATTCACAGCGCTCACCATAGCACATACCCTCCCCGATGTCTATTACCCAACGACCCCATCGCTGTTACC